AACTGTTAGTTTTCTTGCTGCAAAATCAGACTATCGATCACAGAAACACTGTGACTGAAAGCCAACATAACTGTTGCCATAATACAAAGTCAAGCTCCTACTTCTGCTCTAAGTTTGTGATTAACTGGGGTAAAGTTGGCAATTACAGGCAATCAGTTTCTGATAAAACACCAATGAACTGTGATAAGTCATCAAAAATCCCGTGTTACTGTCTGCTTAGACATAAATTCACATTTAACTATTACATCTGCACTCAGCGAATGTCCTGATTTATACAAATACCAAATAAAGCAACATGTTACCAACCAAAATACAACCAGCTGGTAGCAAGCTGAGCGCACTCTTGTAGAGAACCAGACTCGTTAGTCTGGTGGTATCGATTCTACTTACCAGTTCCAGCTGCACTTGCACTACAATCAGATGATTTTAGTTCATGGTGGTGGAAAACAGTCTACAGTCTACAGCACGGATGTGGCCGTTACTTTTATTTTTGTTGGGCAAAAATGCAAAAGTGCGAGTAAAGGGGAAAATGCATCCAGGACAGAAACAGCTGTATTACAGTTCTTTGCAAAGCAGACACGATGGAGCTAATGAAGACAACCTGGCCAACGCACAGAGCAGGAGAGCTAATGTTACGATTGTTAATATCCCGGAGAAGTCTGAGGGTGATGATGTATTTGGCTACATCATCCCAGGCTTTATGGGGAGGAACCCTTCCAAGCAACGGTCATCATAGAGAGAGCACACTGCTTGGGAAGAGCGGCGGATGGGGTCCAGCTTATCCTTGTTAAGTTTCTCAACTACAAGGATGAGGACAAAGTGCTCCGCTCGGCCAGAGACAAAGGGACTGTACCTGGATACTAGCCGAGCCTCCTTTTACCTGCACTACACCATCGAGATGATCACTTTTAACGAGGTGAAGAAAAAACTTTGAGAGAAGAACCTTGAGTACAGCAGCACCTATCCTAACAAACTGTGGATCTGATATGAAGCTTTTCCTCCATCTGAGGTGGAACCTTTCCTGTCCAGTGTGGAAGAGGCCTACAGTAAACCACTGTTACACATGATGATGTAAACGTTAAAATGAGTAACTATCAGCTGCGCCTTAAATGTCTAAACACTGTTTTGTTATATGCAACAACTGGTTATCATGCATGCTACTTTGTACTATTTTCTGTGAGCTGGTTTGGTTGTTCCTTCATGAAGCTATGACAGTACTTCTGAACGCTCCGCTGAGGCGCTCAAGGTTAGAGATGGAGTCCTACCTGCCTGCGTTTTTGTCATGGGGAGATTACAGGATGGCTTTTTCTTTTTTTTCCTCTCCACTCTCTCTGTACCACGTTTGACTCTGTAAGTGTTGGAAATCATAAACATTTGGCAACAAGTCGCGGGTTTAGTCAGACGCTGAGCTGCTCTCCTAACCAGGGAAAGATTCGTTTGCAGTGTGTAAACTGAACAGGACGGTTAGACTGTGTTTGATGTAGAGGGAGTAACTCCCCCATCAAAAAGAAGAAAGCATTAACATATCTTAAAAAACTCACCTCACTAATAGAGAACATTTAAAATCGTGCAGAGACTGGGTCGGCCATGTTTTTTATTCGTCATCCAAAGCTAAAGGTGTGGCTTATTAATAAAAACCATAGATGTTAAATTCAACAGAGAAAGACAAACATTGCAGGTTCATTTTGATAGACTGTGTAATGGACATGAACAGAATAGTACTGGTATCCTTGTATGGCCCACATTTAGATGACCCACATTTTTTTAATAGTTTAATCGAGCAGGCAAAGTCCAAAGTGTTTGGGCGGTGATTGAACCCGTCAATGGATCGCTCCATGGAAAACTAGTTTCTATATCTCCAACCTGGGGCCTGACAGAATTGGGCCTAAGTGATGTTGAGCAGAGAATATTCATTTTATTCAACTGTTCCTAATACTCACTGAAGAACTGACATGTCTTTGGCCTCACAGACACTCCTCTACCATTTCAGATCACAGTCCTATAAAAATGGGATTGAAGCTTCACCAACCTGAGCCTCTTTCTCCTCCTTCTGGGTGGAGATTTAGAGGATATTTGCTAGAAGACCTCAAAATTATTACTTGTATGAATACTAAACCGGACGTGTATCCAGAGGTAAACCTAAACACCTCCTCACATTCAAACATATGAGAAGCACTTAAAGCGTATATGAGAGGTCACATTATTTCACATGTCTCATATAAAAACAAACATAAACATGAACAGCCACATGCTGCTGTGATCACAATGACCTCGGAGCTGTGTGGATTTTAGTTCTGGATACTTGGAGATGTTGCGTCTCTAACACTGCACCCTAGTCGGAGACACTTTGTGTTGCTTACATCGACTGCAGCAAAAAAGTGTGCACTTAAAAACTGGAAATCAACAGAGCCTCAGAAACACTGGATAAACGAGCTGTCATCATACTGCACTCCCCAAAAAATCCTCCATTCAGTCCGGAGGAAATTAACAGAGTTTGAGTGGACGTGGATCCCTCTCTGAATTTTCTAACACGACTGGACTTGAGGGACCGATCAGTGCTACTCTTCACTGGTTTGTCTACAGCACAGGTGTCGAACTCCAGGCCTCGAGGGCCGCTGTCCTGCTCGTTTTCCAACTAACCTGCCCTTGAAGCTTCATATTGGCAAAGCACACCTGATCCAGGTAATCAGCAGCCGGTAGGGCAGGGATATCTCAACAACAAGCAGGATGCTGGCGCTCGAGGAGTTTGACACCCCGGGTCTACGCTTTTACTTATTTATTTTACTCTATTTTGTGTCTGTGCCTTATTTATTATCTTTTTAAAACAAAAAACAGAATGTCCTGCTGTAACGCATACTCGATGCAAACCTTTGTTAAGTATTGTATGTATTGTATGTAATGTATGGGCGATCGTGGCTCAAGAGTTGGCAGTTCGTCTTGTAATCGGAAGGTTGCCGGTTC